CCCCCCCCCCCCCCCCCCCCACCAAACACACATGCCATGATTTCATCTGCCCTAAATAACCATCCATACCACCGTCTCCACTGCCACCTCTTTTGGCCTTACAAGCTCCTGGCCATTGTTCAGGTCTCTGCTAAGTGGCATATCCTAATAAAAATCTTTCCTGAATATTCAATCTTAACTATGCACGTCTCACCATTATCTCACAAAGCACTTTGTTTTCTTCCATTCTTTGTGTTTTGCTTGGTAATGGGTGATTACACATTTGTCTCCTACAATTGCAAATTTCATATTTGAATGTTTGCTTAATGTCCGTCTGCTACAGTAGAGCCAAACTTCAGGAAGGAAGGATAACCAATGTCTGTTACTTTAATCAACTTGAACCCTGGCACATACAAAAAGAGCAAAGTACATTTAGTGAATGCCTAATGTAGTAAGTTAGTTTCAAAATTCAAAATAAGTTAGTTTGAAAATAAACTTCTAAAAACAAGATTTCTCTAGAAAAAGAATACACTTTTCTCTCAAAGAGAACAAGTGGATCGCATGCAGTTTTTCCTGCCCTTTTAACAGACTCACTGAAATGAATGAAATGGATTTTTTTTTAAAAAGGACCAAACCCACAAGGTCAAAGACAAGTAAAGAGGAGGTAGCAACAACAAAAACTTTTGAAGTGGGAAAGCATGAAGACAAATTAAGACTAGCTTAACAAACCAAAAAATGATAAAACCTAACCCAAAAAATAAGGAAAAGGATGATTTATCCTGCAAAAGGCTAGGATCCTCAGTAAATTCTAAAACTAGAAAGTGAATGGTTGTTGAGAAAAAGAGTATTTACTGGTTTCACAATATCACTCTACAGATTATTTACTAATTATAAAGGGAAAAATATACCTTTGTACTGGGAAGATTTAGTATTCACCACTTCTAACCTTCAGTTATAAAATCTGGCTATCACCAATAGTGCAACAAACTGACATTATTATGTGCCTCACCAATGTAATGCAATAAAACGTACACTGTCTTATCACCTACACAGCATGCTTGCCAAATCTAAAGGAGATTGCCATCTCTAAAGGAGAAAGCCATCAGAGAAATGGAGGTTGTTGAGACAATCTATAAGAAAACTGTCCTGAATTCTCTAAAACACTCAGTGTCCTATTAAAACAAAACAAAACAAAAAAAATGAGAGCCTGTTCTAGATTAAAGAGACTAAAGCATTGAAGAGGGCGTCTTTTGGGATGAGCACTGGGTGTTGTATGGAAACTAATCTGACAATAAGTTTCATATAATAAAAAAAAATTTTTTTTTAATGTGAAAAAAAGAGACTAAAGAGACTCAACAACAAAAATAATGCATGAATCTTGATTGGATTGCAAACAAGCAACCAAATAAATGAACAAAAAAACAAAATTACATCAGCTAAAAAAACAAAAAACACTTTGGGGAACCCCTGGAAATAATTGAACACGAAATGTTTGAGGTGATATTAATGAGTTAATGTAAATTTTCATAGATTTGTTATGTCATTGTTATTGTTTGGAAAATGTCCTTATACTTAGAAGATACATACTAAAAGTATTAAGGGTAAAGTGTCCAGATGTCCCCAACCTGTATTCAAATGATTCAGGGGGAAAAAAGTGTGTGTGTGTGTGTGTGTGTGTGTGTGTGTGTGTGTGTGTTGTGTGTTTAGAAAGACAAAGCAAATGTGGCAAAATGATAACAATTGGTGATTTTAGGTGATGACTATATAGGGTACACTAAAATATTCTTCCTTTTAAAAAATATATTTTTTATGTTTATTTTTGAGAGATAGAAAAAGAGCGAGCAGGGGAGGGGCAGAGAGAGAGGAAGACAGAATCTGAAGCAGGCTCCAGACTCTGAGCTATCAGCACAGAGCCTGACAAGGGGCTGGAACTCCTGATAGTGAGATCATGACCTGAGCTGAAGTTGGATGCTTAACTGACTGAGCCGCCCAGGCGCCCCTGAAATATTCTTTCAAGTTTGCTGTATATTAGAAATTTTTCAAAGAAAACAGAAATTACAGATTGTTTTAGAAAATAGCATTTAAGAAATTTTCCAGACCTGAAGGACATGAACCTCCACATTTAATGGACTTACTTGATACCTAGCATAAAAAATAAAAATGATTCACACTAAGATATGTTTTACATTAGGTTTCAGGACACTAGGAACAAAGAAAAGAACTTAAAAGGCTCCAAAGAGTAAAAACAGGGCATCAATAAAAGAGCAGGAATCAAAATGGGTTTGAAGTTCTCAACAATATTCTATTTAAAAAAAAAAAAAATTTTTTTTAACGTTTATGTATTTTTGAGACAGAGACAGAACATGAACGGGGGAGGGGCAGAGAGAGAGAGGGAGACACAGAATCGGAAGCAGGCTCCAGGCTCTGAGCCATCAGCCGAGAACCCGACGCGGGGCTCGAACTCGCGGACCGTGAGATCGTGACCTGAGCTGAAGTGGGACGCGCAACCGACTGAGCCACCCCAGGCGCCCCTCAACAATATTCTAAACCAGAAGTCATAACCTTAAAATTCTAAAGAAAAATATTTCAAGTAGAATTCATGTCCTGTGAAAGAACAAATATACTGGTTGAAAAGCCCTTTTCAGATATACTAGAATTCACAAGTTTAACACATTTATCCATTTTTACATGCCACCTACACAAAAAAAACAATTTTGATAATTTCACGTTTTCTTAGAGTAAACCAAGAAACAGGAAGGCATGAAATCCAAGAAGTAAAAACTGAACAAAGAAGAAGGGAACAGAATTCAAAAAGTAGGCAAAATATAGAATAGTGGGCAGAGAAGAACAAAGGATTGTAGGAGGGCTGTCTAAACATAGGAAATGCCAAATTTCCCAAAAATTTGTTTTCTAAAAGACTGAGTATGAATTAGTGATAGTTAAATGGACAACCACATACAACAAAACAGGCAACATTACATAGCAAATAAAGTTGTACAGCAAAGTAAACATGACTCATACCTCAGTTATGAATAAATTCATGATAAAGAGTAATGAGCTTTAGAATGAGAGAAGATATTTATTTACATTTATTTACTTTTGAGAGACAGAGAGAGACAGAGCACAAGCGGGGGAGGGGCAGAGAGAGAATGAGACACAGAATCTGAAGCAGGTTCCAGGCTTTGAGCTGTCAGCACAGAGCTCAACGTGGGGCTTGAACTCACAAACCGTGAGATCATGACCTGAGCCAAAGTCAGACACTTAACCGACTGAGCCACCCAGGTGCCCCGAGAGAAGATATTTATAAAATATTTTTTTTTATCAAAAACCTAGTATCCAGAATATAAAGATCTTTTTCAAATCATTAATTAAGTTAAGCTAAAAGATCCAAGAGAAAAGGAACCGC